TTCTGGGTTCCCGGGGTCCATCCACTGTAACTTTAATAGCTCTGTGATAGGTAGCTACTTGGGGAGGATTTGTGAAGACTGTTATGGTCAAGGTGAAACTCTTGCCTGCAGATTAAGGGGGGGAAATACAGAGTAAATATAAAAGACAGTATTGATGATTATATAGCAACTGTCCAAATTTCATTCAAATCTCTTTTACAATGAAACAGAGAGTCAAAAGTCCTTATTCTAAACTGGAAACCCCCTGACAGCCACTTTTAGGATGATTCTAAATTCATTCAGTATTAAGATCATCTTTTTCACTACAGTACTATATAAGAAGGTTCTGATTCCTCCTCAATAGCTCCTCAGTAGCAATATTTGTAAATGAAAACAAAAACCCTAGTCCTCTTGGGAAGAGTTCTCTTCCTTTTAATTTTTCTCCAACATCAGGAACACATCCAAACACAATTTTAGAAGCCCTTATTTAGGATTAGGTCGTGACCCCATGAGAGAACAATACTAAATCATTGTTGATTATGTTATTTACTTCACATGGCTTTAGCATTTCATTTGCTTAAATGAACTACAATAAGAAGATGAAAGAGGGAAGTTCTTATGGGAATCATTTTAACAGGAGCCAGTGTCTCCTATCCTGGTCTTAATGTGCCTGTGGTATGATGATTTCATCATTACTGGAACAAAGTTTTTCTCCTCACTGCCCAACCCTCCCCTAACATACATCCCTGCTGTTAAATCTTGAAATAACGCCTTGATGGTGACTTATTTTCTGCTAAATGTATAGGAGATCTCTCAACATAAACATGAATTTTTACTTTTAGCAGAGGCTGTGCTTCATTGAAATACTATATCTGATGCTTCAAATTAATGAGCTAAAAGCAATGAACCAGGGTTGGGGGTGGGTTGGCAGCAGATTTGGATGTCTGCTTTCTCCAGAAGACACCAGACTCTGTTACACAGACTCACTGACAGTTGTAATCAGTTAGATTTGCAACGGTTAGTCATGTCAGATAGTCAAAACTGCAAACTGTTACAAGACAGGAAAGGGTGGGCGTGAAACAGTGACTCAATAAAACATTCAGCAATCTGGGGCCAGAGTACTCATCTAGTCTGCTCCTATAACAGATAAAAAGCTCATTTTGTTTTGCTTTGTTTTTTGGTCAGACTTTCCTTTCTTTTACTGAAAACTGAGGGTATTAAATCAAAACACAAATCCTAAACAATATGTAGTAATGCAAAATTTAATGCAGTCTTTTCAAAGCTTAATATGGAACAGGTTATATACGAGTCTTAATGTAGAACAGGTCTTTGGCTGTCAAGTCTAGTGAATGGGTTTTCTTTTCAACCCAGACCATGTAAGTTCCTAAAATCTGTTTAAGACACACATCATTTGTTACTGAGTATACACAGCCTTAAGCCAAGGTTCAAGGGGAGGGGGCAGGAGAAAGGAAAGGAAAGAGAAAGGGGAGAAGGGGAGAACTAGATGAATATTGATTAGAAACCCATTAATCTCCCTCTAGTCCATATACATTCTCTCATTTAACCCTGCACAGTTAGATTTATCACCCTCATTTACAAACAAAGCCAAGAGGGGCTTAGTAATTTATCCAAATTCACACCATCAATAAGTGGAAAAAGTGAGGATCTAAATCCAGGCCATTCTGACCTTAAAATTAATGCTCTTTTTAAAAATTTTATTCTGCCACTCTGCCAGAGAACATGAAAAAGAAATTAATTGGTAATTTACTTCTAAATGTGTCTCAATTAGCTCTCTGTGCCCAAGAAATAGTAAATATATAGAAAGTAATGTAATACCTTAGGCAAGGATGATGAAAATACTTTTAAAGTGTCAGAGATATATCATATTTCATCCACTACACAGTAGATATTACATGGATTTATTTTTTTTTCTCTTTTTTTTTTAAAGAGAGAGAGGGAGACAGAGAGAGAGAGAGAGAGAGAGAGAGACAGAATTTTTATTTATTTTTTTAAGCTTTCGGCGGACACAACATCTTTGTTTGTATGTGGTGCTGAGGATCGAACCTGGGACACATGCATGCGAGGCGAGCGCCCTACCGCTTGAGCCACATCCCCAGCCCTATTACATGGATTTAAGTAATTTAATTCATTAGTAAACAGAGGATTTATTATCAATATTATGATTAATCAGAAGAAAAACAAGACAGCCAGGAGTTTAACTTAGTCACAGAAAACTGAAAATCTATAGAAATGGACATTAGAAACTTAAATAGGAACCACTAGGTTCAGATTAAGACCTCAAAATAGTGGAAAGATTTGGAGGACTGAAATAGTCGATTCTCTAGACTGCAAGTTAATTTCCATTAAAACATTTTAAAATGCGCTTTTAGATGAAATTAGTGGTCCATGGATCCAGAACAGCAACTCTAATACTGGTTCCAATGACTTTGGTCATTGGAAGACAGTTACCATCCATGACACTAATCTTAATAAATCAAAGATGTACGTTTCTCAATTATCCTTAATGTCTCTAAATAACAACATTCTAGATACACTATGCATGAATTTACCTAAACAGGGTGTGAGAATATTTCTATTTTGGATCTTTACGACCTTGAGATATTAAAAGTCATCCATGCTTCAAATTCAGGGAAACACTCATGTAAGGACAAAAGTGAAATGGAAAATTCACCCTTCAAATCTAAAGCACCTAAATTCTCAGAGCAGAACCACTTTTTCCTTAAAAAGAGGTGGGTTGGGGTTGGGGTTGTAGACTGTTCACCTCACATGTATGAAGCACTGGGTTCGATCCTCAGCACATTAAAAAAATAAATAAAAGGTATTATGTCCATCTACAACTATTTTTATTAAAAAATAAAATATTTTTTAAAAAAGAGGTGAGTTTGCAGGCATTGTGATGCAAGTCTATAATACCAGCAACTTAGAAGGCTAAGGCAGGAGAATCGCAAGTTCGAAACCAGCCTCAGCAAATTAGTGAGGTTTTAAGCAACTTAGTAAGACACTATCTCAAAATAGTGGGGGGGAAAAGAGAGAGTTCAGGGAGGAAACAAGTATTTAGGTAACAAATTTCCCAAAATCAAATCCTATGGATCACAACTAAAACAAAAATTGAAAAGGTTCCATCTACTTCTGATTGCCTGTTCAGTAGGAACAAGCATGTTAAGTTGAAGAAACTATGACCCAACTTGACATTTGATTCTTGTTTTCCTGGGTCAAACGTTTATGTAGGCATGATGATTTTCTTAAATTAAAAAAAAAGTTTTTCCAAATTTCATTTTTTAGCTCCGTGGTAAAATTAAATTGACTTTTGTCCTTACATGAGTGTTTCCCTGAATTTGAAGCATGGATGACTTTTAATATCTTAAGGTTGTAAAGATCCAAAATAAAATTGATAAAAATGCAGTTCTTACTTAGTGATAACAAATTATATCCTCCATAGTTTCATTTAGGAACTAGTTCTGCAGTATGTCCTTAAATCATATAGTTTTCAAGATAAATATAATGAACTGTCATTGATTGTCAGTTCCAATCTGAGGGGCTGCTTGGAATAGACAGGAGAGGTAAGACTATAGGCCAGAATGTATCCTAAAATGACAAAATACTGTAGATGCTTTAAAAATGCTAGTAAACTATAGGGAAGAGGGGAGGAAGGGAAAGGGAGGAGGCAGGGGATTAGCAAAAATGATGGAATGTGATGGCCATCATTATCCAAAGTACATTTGTGAAGACACAAATTGGGTGTCAACCTACTTTATATACAAACAGAGATATGAAAAATTGTGGTATATATGTGTAATAAGAATTGTAATGCACAAAAAACAAAGTACATGTATAAAGACATAAATTGGTGTGAACATACTTTATATACAAAGATATGAAAAACTGTACTCTATAGATGTAATAAGAATTGTAAAGCATTCCGCTGTCATGTATTTAAAAACATAAAATCAATTTTAAAAAAAGCTAGTAAACTAAATTTACAATTAAAAATCATAAGGTATTTCTAATTCAATGCAAGTTTCATTGATAATCTACTCCTATTTCAAGCATTTTAAAAAGTTGTAATAAGACAACCCATAAAGTCTAGTGACATAACTCATTAATAAATCCAAGACCATTTGTCAGTTTCTGAGAGTTTACATTTCTATGAGTGAAAAGGGGAAATAAGTGTAATATCTGGGGAATTTGGTGGGTTTTTTTTATTTTTTTAACACTATTGAAAACAGAAAACTTGTAAAGCCGGGAAAGAAAATACAATAGTAGCAGCATGTTGATAAGACTCAATAACTTAAGAGAAATGGAGAAGTGTGAAAAATCAAAGAGGAAGCTGGAGTCTGTTATAAAAGCAGGTCAGGTACAAAGGGTACAAAGGCAAGTTAAAGGGTTTCCTGACACTGAAAAACTGACCCACTTTTTTTCAGAGTGTTACATCTTATCAGTGTCTCTCTGTTTTTTTCTCTCTCCATTCCAACTTGATATTACTGTCTCCTTGCATACAGTGTTAATAAAGTGATATAAAAATCTATTATTAGTGATAAATCAATTTTTCTGTCTCTCTTCACTGCTCCCCCCAACCCCCATTTAAATCTTGAAGACAAGTCTGGACCAATTTCTCCATCCTGCCTCTGGCAGCAGACTGTAGCATTTCAGATCCTCCACCAAGTCCCGGCTGCTTCAAAGGAAAAATCCTACTTTCTTCAGTTAAGATCATAAGAAATATAGGGGGAGGGGGTCAGCTCTGTTTGGACATAATTACACTTCATCAAAAGAAGCTTTCTTCATCTTCCATGCGTGAAAAGTCTGCAAGCAGTTAAGTCTGTCTTTTTTTTTTTAAATATAAAAATTGCTATTTGGGAAACCAGCCAAAACTCAGAAAGCCAATATAGTAAAACAGTGCACACCCTTTGTTTCTCTTTGAAGTTTCTTAAATAAATACGTTGAGGGTTTACAAAGTACACTATCACTTTGCCATAGTTTCTACTCAAATTGATCAGAAAAAAAGTTATGTAGCATCTATATACAAAAAGACAATGAAGACACTAGATTGAATCTGTAAAATTAAATATAACACCCAATCCTTCAAATACTAAAATTCATTACTCTAGTTAAAAATTAAGGTAATTTTACATAAGAAGAAAGATTCAATCTAGAATATACAGGTATATCATCATGTTCATATTTTTCTTAATTTTTACTAGGATAAAAGAGAAACTTTAATTGTACTATAGTCCTGCATGATAAACTGAAATAAAAGCATTATTACATACATACATACACACACACACACACCCCAAGCCCCATCAGTCCATAATGATAGAGCATATGTCTTCTTTTCTTTTAATCAAAGTAAACTAAACATGATGCAGTGATAAACCCTCTAGTTTGGGTTCTAACAGAGGCTCTGAGCCTCACTGTATTTCAAATAACCTTTCAGTGACAGATTCTCATTAGCATGCATCATTTTTTTTCTTAAGTTAAAAAGTACAACTTCTTGGCCCTGTTCCTAGAAAGTAAACTAAAACTACTCATCGGAAACAGCCTTGCTTGAATTTCCCTTATCAAGTTTTTACAATGGTAATAATTTGACATCTGATCCAAACTACAGAACAATTATTAGACATGATTTAAAAATTGGTACTTCTCATTTCCTAATTCAAACCTGGGCTGCAGTGAATCCATAAGGCTTTCAATTCTATTTAACCTTATTCCTAAATAGATCTACTTAGTATCTTCTTGAGATACTTAAAATTAAAATTTATCATTCATTTGTTCAGGCAACTTTATATCGTCATCCTAACATAGTAATACCATTAGTCACTTATTCAAATGAACAGCTTTCTATAAAATATCATAATTTTAACAGGTTCTTATATATTATGAGAACAAATTAAATCACATAGAGACAGCATGCAATAGTGAAGAGCATTATGTTAGCTGTCCTTGCTTCAACTTAGAGCAAAATTGATTAGTATCAAGAAATTGATTCAATGTATTCGTTTTACTTTCCCCTTTGCCACTCAACTTACTCAATTATGTGACTCATAATTCAGAACTTGATCCTCCAATTGGTCTTTTCTCTATCTTATGTGTTCACAGTCAGTGAAATTAGGAGGTAGTTCTTCTGGAAACATTGTTTGAATTTTCAGTATTATAAAACAAATGAAAAAGGCCTGAGTACTCAGAAAAACACTCAACTGCGTCTGGATGCATTTAAATAAAATCTTCTGTAACTCTATTCAGTAAAAGAAAGTGTTGATTTGTATGCACACTAGATTTGTATACAGTCCACATTTCATCAGAGGATCCTAATGTGCTTATTCCATTATCAGTATTAAAAATCAGAGACCTACCTCGTCCACTCCGGCCCACAAATCTCAGATCGTTGAACCTTGCTACTTGGTTTTTCATTACAGCAGAGGCATTTCGGAGCTCAGCAGAATAATTTTCATCGTTACCCGCCATGACAGTAACCACAGTCCCATCTGGTACCTCTCCAAGGGCTACCACCTACATAAAACAGGAAACACAGCAGCAATAATGGCACATCAGAAAGGCTTAAAAAAATGAGAATAAATTCTCATTGTAAGTGATGTGTCTTATCAAGACTTAGTGCTCTGGTCCAGTAATGGCAGAAAGGAATGAAGCATCTGTATATGGGTTATGATGCCACTTCAAACAGACCAATATTTCAGGGTCCACCCATTTCAAAGGCAGGCATAAATTTCCCTCATTTGTTTTTGGATTCTTCACAGAATATATGTACATTTTTATTAAATCCCCATGTTAGGCTGTCCACAGGAATCATGCCTCAGAAGAAAGGTTGATGCCCCATCTGTAGATTGCATCACACACATTAAGGCATCTCTTGTCTACAGCTTGGAGAGCCATGAGGTGTTCTCATCCAAATCTCTGGCTAAAAAGTAGGAAGTGTGATCAGCTCTGCAGAAGAAACCTTAAGGTGTAACATTTGATTTCCTGACTATATGGAGCCCTGGATATAGTGGAGTCCACATTTCATCTGCTTACTTGGGGCTACATATTTAGCTTGCGATAAATGCCTACTTTGTAGTGGGACCCAGTGAAATACTCAAGGCTATCAAAAAACTTAAAAGTCTAGGTGCAGAATATATATACTAAGCTGAAAATAATCAATGACAAATGAACAGCAAAAACAAAAAATATACCCACAGCCACACTTCTAATCTGTTTTATTCCATCTACCATCTTGGAATGACACATTTGCCTCCTTAATCTTCAACAGGCTGAAGCAGATTTACTCAGTTGAGTAAATATTCAGAATAATCAGTCTTTGAAACTAACAGACACTTTCTCTGCTCTACCTCTAGGGAACGGAGTTTATCCTGGTTAGCCAACTTACATGTGTACCTGTAATTAACATGGGGCACAGTAATAGAATACTAGCAGTGTACAAAACTCATAATCCACTACCAAGATCCTGCCCCCCAATAACAATACTTTCTCTCAACCAACTTCTAGGATCCTCTATTCAGGTTATTTCCATCTCCTCTTCACTTAGCATCCAGATGCCCTCTTGGTAACCCAGCTACAGGAGTCCATTGTCACTAGTCTCCAGCTACAGGAGTCCATTGTCAGTACTCTCTGACAATGTTACTCTAGTGTCACTCTAGGGTGCTTGCCTGTCTGGCAAATATCCCACTTATCTTTTTCTACATATAGTGCTACTCTCTTCTTTTTGAAGATTTCCATAAGATGAACCTAAGCATTTAATATAATGTTCCAAATATGCTTGGTACGTATTTTTCAATAAAGCAAATTTCTTATAATATAGTAAAATAGACACCATACCTATATTTTAGGGATAAATTTTCCCCATCCATGAGTCTCACCCCTCTCCTATATCCTTTCCTCCAGCAAGGAAAACAAACAAAACCTTGTCATTATTTTCATCACCCTTACTTTTCTCTTAGATTATTTCTAAGTTCTATTCCTTCTATTTACCACCTTTTTTTTTCAATCCAAAACCATAAACCTTCCTGAAACTATAGGGCCCACTTTCCCAACAGCCCACTATACTCAAGTAATCTTCATTTCAATGTGTGTTTCTGGGTGGATGTGTGTGTGTGTGTGTGTGTATAAGTATATATGTATGATCAACCTACTCCTTTTGATACACCAACCCAAAGCTGAGAGACTCACAAGTCCCAATTATATTAGTTTGAAAACTACATGAGGGAAGGGCCTTCATTTCATGTCTTATTTGCAGTTATATGCCTAGCTCCCAAAACAGTGTCTGGCACATAGTGTTTAATAAACATTTTTTTAAATAAATAAATGAAAGAGCTCCATAAAGAGAACCACTTTCCTTAGCCAGAAGTCTGTGGGGCTACCAGATAGAACTCTGAGAACCAGTTAAAGGGTGAGTCATCATCATTCCTCACCAGCAATAATGTGCCCTTGCTTCAGACCAGTTTTCTGACTTTTTCTGTCCCAGAGGAGAGGGGATCATGGTAATGACCCTTTACTTGTAGTATAAGGTTATTCTCAATCTGAGAAGTCTTCAAGGTCAAGAGCAAATCTTTTGAGAACCAGACTTCCTCCCTGCATGCTTGATCTAGTACTTCAAGAGACTACTGAATATAGTTAAAACTGTACTCCTGAGGGAGGCCATGTATCTTTCAAATTCACAATGACAAAAATGTGCACATTTGAAATACTCAAATAATTGATGTTTGCCAGTATTCATCTGAACCTTCGATATTTTGTGTTTTAACACCTGCTGTGTGGCTCTCTCTGTCAAAGTAAATATAATAAAGATAAAAGCTCTACTGTTCAGAAGAGAATGAGCACACTAAATTAAAGAGGCTCCAATTTTTCCCTACTTTTGCTACATATCTACTATTTCCCCACATAAGTAACTTCATCCTCAGGAGCCACCAATTTTCAATATAATTTGGAAATAATTTTTTTAAAGTCTGTCAAATATATGGGTATCATACTATATAAACAGAGAACTGTTACAATGACCTGCTTTTTGTAAGATGAGGAGGATAACATAGTGTTCTGCTCCAACCCTGCGGCTAAACAGGCTTTTATTTAGAAACATCCTTAAAGAGTTCAGCTGAATATATGATTCTTCACTTCATGTCCTGGGATGTTCTTTGGTGTTGTGGAGGATAAAGGATGACTACTGGTGGGTTTCACTCAACTAAGGCTAAACTACAGGAAATAATAAAAGAAATCTTCCCCAATATGATGGTTTTCAAGAGCTATGGGACATTATTATTTTACTGCATATTTTTAACATAATGAATTTTTTTAGTTAGAAGAAAAATAAAATTGATTCAATATGGGAAAATATGAAAAAAGAGGCTAAGAGTGAAATACATAAATCCATTTTACTTTGCTTAAGCAGCATAATAATTACCATATTAAATATTGGTATGTTTTACATGTCACATTTAACAAAACAAATAATCACGAGTTCACGAGTTGTGTAAGTATTCTATGAGGCTCAGAACTTGGCTTTTAAAAAAAAAAAACAACTAACACAATGCAGTGACAACCTTCCCTGTTATGGCTGAACTCTGGTTTAATGGCTAAATATATTGTGTTTTCTGCTATTCACTCTACCAAATCCGATTGCCCAATGTTTTTCTGAGGAGGAAAAAAAGTGTGTGTGTTGGTGTGGAGAGTGTGTAGCACTGTATTTGACCAGAAGGGTAATTACAAGTTTGACATTTTGTTTGTTTGTTTGTTTGAAGTAGATCTCTGAAGCTAAAAAGTTTCCCTGGGAAATTCTCAATTGTGTTTATTTGAAAGAAAACCAAAAGAAGGAAGAAATTTTTACACATTTCATGTGTACCAAACCCAAGCAATGGAAAAATATTTTAAGGAGTTAAGAGCAGTCAAAAATGGCTGCTCTTAACTCCTTAAGCATGAGTTAAAATTTTTATCCATATTACCCAAGACAAAAGTACTGCTATACAAATAATTCATGATGAAACCTTTATCCATTACATTTCTAGGTATTTTTAAAATATAAAATCTACAAATTAAATAAACCTCATGGGAAAGAAATTTTATGCACTGATATTTCTGAATTGATAAAGGAGTTCTTGTATTTAACATACTTCAATATAACCAGCATTTAAATCACATGTATATAGCATGTACAAAATAAAATAAAAGGATATTTAATTCTAGCAATGGTATTGAAATTTTGTCTGAAACTCATGACTAAAACTGTGAATCACACTAAAAGAGGAGTAATAGAGAATTAACTTAGACCCTTAAAATTATTTCTGTGATCTTAATATTGGATATTAAAATTACTCATGAAATTTTCATGGATAGAAGTATAATCTTAGCTAATCAATTACTCTTACAAAACAATTTGCAGTATAATTAAAATATGATTATTTTTCAAGACAGAATCTGACCAAATCTCTCTTTATAATAAAAAGAGAGGTTGAGCCAGTAATTAAAGAAAGCAAAAATTTTAAGTAAATTATCAAAAAGTTTCAACAACTACTACTAACTTTTAGAACTTAACCCAGAATTTAGGAATTCTAAAGAAAAAAATGAATATAATATATCATTTCAAAACATTTTTTGAAATTTGAAGAAAATTTTGATGGAAATTGTTTCAATTTAAGCCAGCAATTTATATGTCATGTATTAAGATGGGTTAAATCACCTAATAATGAATATTCTGGAATTTTGAAAGGACACAAATGGCAAGGCCAAAGGGGAAAAAAATGAGACACATGTACCCTACTTTTTCTCAAACAAAAAGTTTCTAAAATTTTAAAAAATATTTCCACCTAGAAGTATTTGTTCCAGCTAACTTACCAATAAGTTTTATATGTTCAACCCTAAAATATTTAACTTTAAATAAGTTTTATTGCATTTAAAGATATAACCAAAAAAATATGTCTATCTTCATATAACCTGAAATCTGCTATGATTTATATAATTTTGTGTGACAATTTATGTTGTTTAATAAGGGTTTAACAGGTTTAACAACCTATTTCCTCTTTAGGTATACTTAGATTTTAAAAGATATAAACACAAAATCTGATCATTAAATACATAGGAAAAATGCGATTCACTAGTGTCACATATTTATAAACTGCATACTTGCTTCTGAAGAGAGGAAAATGGCTAAGGATGTCGAAAAATGATTTTCAAAGAGAAGCTGCTGTCATTTTGAAACTTTCTTTTTATAAATACTGAAAAGTATTATTAAAGATAGAAAATTAACTACAAGTAGTAGATCGTATAGCTAAAATTATGTTTTCTTTCTTTAACTTTGTCAGAAAAATGACACTGGTAAACACATATAGTCCAGTGTTCTCTTAACTGAAAACAGTGCTATAGGCTTGCACTACTTTTAGTTTTAAAATATACATCTGGACCTAAAAATTTCTGCATACTGTTTCAGCTTGAAGCTATTTAAAGAAACTTAGTTATGAACCCTGAACACAAAGCTTCACAGTGGAAATGCTGACAGACCCCTAACTAAAAAAAGTACTACTGGACTGCAGAGTTGACTCTCCACTATTTCTACCTGACCATCAACTAATGAGCTGAATTTGCAAATTGCTTCTTTGTCACTAGAATTATCTGAGACAGAAAGGGCCCTGAATCTTCTAATAGCATGCCTTAACTATTTTAAGCTTAAAGTGAGATACACCTGAAAGAAATGTTAAAAATATTTCCATTTCCTTGACACCTGGGGGGACTGAGTATTTCAAAACTGCAGAACTTTGTTAAAAATATCATACTGATAAACAACTGTATATAAAGTATAAAAGTTGCTTTTGTATTTTTATATGTTGAGGAATAATGAATTATTTTAATATAATCCTAAAACAAAATCATATGAACAATACTAATACATTCCCTACTTAATGTAATACGCTGTCAATATCAAGCTGAAGCACTATTTTAAATTATTATATGAAAACAGCATACTGAATTCATCTGATTGTCTACATTTCCAAGCTCAGTGATAAAATATGAACTCAGTAAATACAGTATTGATTTCAACACCAGACTTCTCAACAATTCAGTTCTCTGTATTTTTAAAAGCATTTATCCCTGGCTGGGGTTGTGGCTCAGAGGCAGAGCACTTGCCTAGCATGCCTGAAGCATTGGGTTCGATCCTCAGCGCCACATTAAAAAAAGCAATAAAACTTTAAAAAGAGATACTGTGTCCACCTATAACTATAAAACAAACATTTTAAAAATTTTAAAAAGCATTTACCTATCTGCTATCTACCTAACAACACTGTAATTTATTTTGTACGGATCTGTGAATATGATAACCAATTTGCTGTCATCACTTTTAAAAAGGAGACTTCATATTATTTTTTCATTACACGTGTATTTGATTATGTTGCAAGAGTGTAGAAAGTCTATTGCTTTCAGGCTTTTATCCAAAAGCAGGATATTTTTTAAATAGGAATGTTTTTACATCATTTGAATGAAAAGGATAAAAACTGCTGTCAAAATCTGAATGTTCAAATATCTATATACATTTTTTTTAGCAGAGATACAACTTCTAAGTAAATCTCAATCCTTTTTGTAATTCCATTAAACACAGATATGGGGATGGTAAAACACTGAATCAGGGTTTAAGTTAACACGATTCATTATTCAATTAATATAAATTGCAATATTCAATTTAAAATGGTTTTGTGTTATCTATGGTCTGTTTACTAGTTAAAATAATAAGAATATGTTCTGTGTAATTAGTAAGTATGATTAATAGAGAAATTTATTTTCAAAATAGTTTTTAAAGGATTGAAGTGAGAAAGCCTAACCGACAGCCAAAATATCTGAGAATAGCTCAAACCACATAGAATTTTATCTTTATGTGAAAACACCCTTTCTATAGAGAATACTCATGCTCAAGATCAATTCAGCATCATAAATCGTAAAAACAGTTCAAGACAGTTATACCTTAAACGTGTAGCAAAACGTTACATGAAACATGTAAATGATATAATCTAAGAACCTAGCCTTATATGTTCACATAGCCTCATTTGTGGCATTATACATACTAAATATCTACTTATTTGTATCTTTTGCTGTTTTCATTCAGGTTTTCTGTCTGGTTTGGAGGCGCTATGAGAGATTAATGTTAACAAATTTCCACGCTCACATAAGGCTAATTAGAACATTCTGGGCCCTTATGCGATGAACATTATGAAATACACCTCTCATGTGGAAATTTCACTTTCTACAATTCACTTATATTCTGACCTTTTTCATATTTCAAGGAAGAAAATATTAACCTACACAATGGGTGCTTGATAAAAGGAGGAATGTCACTTTTAAATTATTTTAAAAGACCATTTCTTGAGCCAACTGCAAAATGAAACCTGCCCCAGAATACAACATCCCCTTTTCCATAACAATTCATTCTGATTCCTGTTCTGATAGGCGACCCAGCGAGATAACCGGCTCTAATTGACCCGGACTCCTCTTTCTTTCCACCCCGCCCACACACGGACTCGGAACTGGTGCGTGGGGTGGGGGTGATCAACAACTGGGAACCGCCAAAGGCCCGAGGGAGTTTGGCCCCAGGGTTCACGATGGAGGGACTGACAGGATGTCTCCCTTTTTTCCCCCTCTCTTTTCTTTCCCCCCAGGCCTTGCTTATCCTGCTCCCCACAGTTCCCAGAACCTGGGGGACCGAGGCCCCCTACTGAGTTGGAGGAGTGCTCACCTCGCGGCTGGCTCACCGCCCCCTCCACCCCGTCTCTAGCCCCGCGAGTGAGGACGGCTGGGAACCGCTCGTCGGTCCGCCAGGGCGTGCTGCTCCCTGGGGGTTCCGTGTCTCCCCCAAGGCTAGGGCTGCCCGAGAAACCCAAACCGCGCGGCGGAGCCGCCTTGGCACTCGGCCCTGAGGGAGGCTCGGGACCCCACACCCTCAACCTGCGACCGTGGCTGCTACTCCCGCTGCGGCCGCCCACCCGCAAACTAACGGGCCCGCCGGGCGGAAGAGGCCTCTTGGAAGCCGCGGACTCCCACCTCCGAGCCCAGGCCACGGGCGGGAGCCACCCGCGACCTTGCACCAGCATGAGGAACCGATGGGACTTAAGGCCTTTAAGAATGATAGTCAAGTAAACCTGCACATTTTCACCTCCGTTTTCAGGTCTGGCGAACCGAGGTTGTTCCACAGGTTTCCCTCATCCCTCCCAGGCGGCGCGAGGCGGGAAGTTCGGTCCCCGCTGCAATAGGCGGCCCGAGCGCCGGCCCCTTCCCGCGGCCCGCGCCTCCCCGCACTCCAGGTTCCGCGCTCCGGACCCCAGAGCTGCCCCGCCTCGGGGTACGCCAAGACCCTGGCGGCCCCGCCTTCCTCCGGGTAGCGGGAACTGGCGCGGGTCAGCGAACAGCGCAGACGCCCCCTGTCCCGTCCCCCCTACCCCGCCCTCCGTCCCCAGGCTTGCCTTGGACCCTCCCAAGCCCCCGCAACGCTGCCCACGCGCCCCGGTCGGCACCCAGCGAACGCCAGCCCCCGAGCCCGGGAGGGGCCGGGGCCACTGAGCTCCCGCTGGTCAGGGAGAGGGATGCCGGATGGGCATCTGGCTGGGAGGGAAGAGGGAAGGACCGCACGGAATCCCGGAGAGAGGCGGCACGGGCACCCGCGGTGCGGGGCTGGCCGGGAGGAGGACCGTGGGAGTCCTAAGGAAGAGTGCCGGGGACCCTCGCCTCCTGGAAAGGGGGCGGGGAGGAGCGAGAGGGGCTTTGCTGCAAAGAGTGGGCACCTTGGGGCGCCGGGGGGAGGGGAGATGGTGCAAGCGAGTGGGTTAGAAGAGGGGCCGGGAGATCTGAAGGGTGGGTACCTGGAAGGGGCACGGTACGTGGGGCTGAGGTCGAAGTGGCAATGGGCACAGGTGGGAAAGAGGGGGTTTGCGGGACGACTGCCCGGAGCCCACCGGGGCATCCAGAGGAAGAAGGCCAGTCAAGGTCCCTCCTGTCGGAACCGCCGAGGCAGGAGGTCTTGGAGGACCTCCGGGCGGCCCCCGTGGGCTTGGAGACGGCCGCTGTCAGGTTCGGCGCGGCCTGACCAGGGGCGGGGGGCAGCAATAGCCTCTTACCTTGAAGGCCACAGGCAGGGTCTTGTTGCAGCGCCAGTGCGAGGGCAGCACCGAGCACAGGAAGTTGGGGCTGTCGGTGCGGACGAGTTCGGCAGGGTGGTCGGCGATTATCTCCACCATGGTGCGGTTGTCGTGCGGCGGCCGCAATCTGGGCACAGCTGCCGCTGCCGCTGCTGCCGCCGCCGCTGCCGCCGCCGCCTCCTGCTGCTGCTGCTGCTGCTGCTGCTGCTGTTGCTGCTGCTGCTGCTGCTGTTGCTGCTGTTGCGCAGCCACCACCGGGCTCACGTCGCTCATCTTGCCGGGCTGCAGGCTGCTGGAGGGGGGGCTGAAGCGCCGGCTGGTGCTCGGATCTACGGGAATACGCATCACAACAGCCACAAGTTAGCGAAGTGGCCGGGGGAGGGGGAGGAGGGTGGAAATGGGGGGCGAGGAGGAGGAAATTGAGGGGGTGGAGGCGAGACGAGGGGAAAGGATGGAGGTGATGGGGCTGAGAAGGTGAGAAATCAAGTTCGACGAAGCCAACTGCGGGGCAGAGTCTGATGGGGGCCCCCGGCGGCGATGCGGAGCTGTCGGGTTGGCGGGTAGGGAGAACCAGGAGGCGCAGATCTCTGCCGGAGCCTTTGGATCACCCGGGGTGGCAGCTGTGAACGGGCGCGGGGGTGTGTTTGGCCCGGGGAGGCGGGGGACTTGAGTTTGCAACTTGCAATGGGGTCCCTTGGGGCACCGCGTCCTGGGTGCGCTGGCGCCCCCTCCCAGTTCGAATCCGGCGGTGGAGCGGAGTGGATTCAGCAGACCAGCCCCGGGGTCGGCATTGCCCCGCGCAGCCCGCCACCGCCGCGCCGCGCGCTGCAACTCAGCTACAGGCGTCCGCGCCGCCGCCGCCGCCCGCCCGCCCGCGCCGCCGCCGCCGCCGCCTCCTCCGCGGCGGCTGCCTCTCCCCCCGCGCCGGCTGCACGCTCAGATTCCTCCAGCGGCGGCTGCCAGCTCGGCTCCTTCCTTTTTCTTCTCTTCGCGCCCTCTCACCGCCACCTCCTTGCATCCACTCCCTTCTGCTATTTACAAAGCTTCTTGGTCCCTCGCGCTTCAAGGTGCTAGGGGGTAAGTCGCGGGCAGCGGATCTCGGGGCAACGGATCTCAAGCCTGCGAATCGTAGCCGCTGCCGCCGCCCGCCGGCCGCGAGAAGGAGCCCCCTGCAAGCTGAGTTCAGCTGCCGAAGCCGAAAGAGGCGGCCCCAGTCTAGGGGGATCTCGCTTGGGCGTTTTTTTGCTCCCCCCAACCCCAGGACGAGGAACCCCTTCTTGGTCCTACGAGGCTGAGGCTGAGATGCCAGAGAGCAGCCGGCTGATCTGACTGTCGTTATTTTTTGTTGTAACTTCAGGAGAGGAGGAAGGAAAATACTTGAGTGTCTGTGCTGACTTCTCACCGCTCTTCACCCTCCCCTACCCCACCCCCACCTCTGCCGGAGCAGCTCCGGGTAGGGAAAGACAGATTTTGCTGGATTTGGGTATTTTTTGTTTTAGATGACATTAAAAAAAAAAAAAAAATATATATATATATATATATATATATATATATATATATATATATAGGCTGGGGAGCTTGTCAAAATAGTTTTTAGAAACTAGAGAACCGAACACTTCTTTTTTCTTATATATTCATTCTTGTCATTCCTAGAGAACAAGGATGAGTATTTTTAAAAACTGGGAAAACTGTCAGCTTGATAATTAAGTTGCAGAAGCCTTTGCTGGGGGAAAACCCTAGCAGTTTTCCATGAATTTCAATCTTTTATTAAATCTATCCTGCGTCTCAGACTAAATCTAGTGTCTTAACTTTCTTCCTCACCGCTCCCAGGGGGAAAAAAATTTTAAAATAAAAAAATGCTTCAATGGATATTTATTTATGTATTTATTTCCCAGTGTGGGTTTAAAAAGCGACTTTGGATCCCCCAAAAGGTTGTGGTCGAGAGGATGAAGGAGCGCGGAAAAAAAGCGGCAGATTTTTACCTAAAATGTGGTTTTTGGAGGCTGGGATTTCTAATGATTAGGTTTTTGTGGTTTATATAGACACGACTTTGGCTAAGGCGATCATTACGCTGATGAGAGTCAGAAGCACGTGGGCGTCTCCGACCAGCCTCAAACTCTGAGTCTTCAAAACAAATAAAACAATGTGCGGCGCCCGCAAAAGCCGGGAAATCCGCTGGAGGCAATTGCACCCCAAGAAGCGGACACGAGGCTGTTTCACCTTCTGTGTTGTGTACTCTTACGTTTCCAGTTTATTAAGTTATCTTAAACCTCCCAATACCTGACAACGTGTTTGCAAAAAGAACAGTCATTTGTTCTAGTTTCAATGCTTCCTAATAAGGTAACAGACAGTAATAAGTTATTTTATAAAATAAATGAAAAATTGGAATGCCCCCCTCGGAGTATTAAGGAAAAAAGATGGTTGAGTCATTACTTATCTCCTCCCATCTTATTTAAAGGTCTTCACATACCTATTATTTGGTGCTTTTATTGCTCAGTGCAAAAACCTCCCTCACCCTGAAGGGACCTGCTGCGACCCTCGGTTCTCGACACTTAAAAACACCACTTCCAATGGATGAGTCTGTGCCGGGGGTCGGCGCCCGCCTGGATGGGCTCCGAAGGCGTGTGGGACGCGGAAGAGGATTCTCGGTGCGGGTCGCGAACTTCGGAGCCCATTTCAAGCGGAAGATGAACTTGTGGTCGCGCTACTTGGAGACCCAGATTGCACAGCCAAAGCCATGCTCGGGGGATTGAGGGGCTTCCAGACACCGTGGGCGGTAACTAGGCGTGCCCTCTCACCCGCGTAAGGATGGAGATGTGGAACACTACTCTGTCCTTCCCGTTTGGTCTATTTTACCTTCCCTTTCTCCATTCACAACTCCACGCCTTCCTCGTCCTTCCTTCTCTTTCCCACTCTTAAGTTCCTGGCCCTTCCCCAGATCCCACCACAAACACGAGCCTCCTCGCCGCGCCTCTCCCCCTCCCTCTCCACGACCGCCTGCCACCGCCACCATCCTGTACACGGAGAAACAATTCTGTGCCAACCTCTGTGACACACCCTCCCCAAACTACTCCTCGCACCTAGTGGCCTCCGTGCCCTCGCGCCACGAGGGTGTGAGAACCCTCTTATCCTGACCAACTGGAAACGCAGCGAAGAAGTCAACTGTGTCCTGCGCGTGCGACTTTAATTATCTTTTCGGTCACAGGGGAGAGCTCTAACCTTGGGTACCGCGGCGCGCGCGTAGTGCATTCTTAAGTCTCCCCAGGCACAGGCGGCCAACACAGGAGAAGCCAGGCTTCCCCTCAAAAAATATAGGAGCTTTTTGTACAAAAGTTATTACTCTCCGCAAGCCTTACACACTCACTCACATGTGAACGTGCGCATCCACACACACACACTTATAATGACAAAACTCATACGTGTGGCTTTTTTTTTTCCTTTTCTCCCTCAACCCCACCCCACTTCACTCCTACCTTTAGTAGGGCAGTTTTATTTGGGGCAAGTTGTGCCACTAACAGAGGCGTTTGACTTGTTTCGTTTTTAAATGTGTGGGGACTGCGAAGGAAGGGAGGAGTTACAGGAAATGAATTATTTCTGTGATCAAAGATAGAAATTCCTTAGTAGGTGACATTCTACCTTCTCTGGGACTTGTTCACAGAATAGGGAACTCCCGTAAATTTGGAGGCACTGGAAAGAGTTAAGATTTCAAACATGAGCTCTCAGAGGGGCTTTTTAGAATAAGAAATTCTAGGGCCATTTGAATCTAAGAAATCATCTTGGGGACTTTTCCAATCTTTCTCCATCACTATTTAATCCTTTCTTTGTTTTACTTGGTGGGTAGGAAAATATGCAGGCCTCAAATGGTTAGAGGTTTTAAGGATGATTTAATCAATAGTGAGATTATTTATTTTAATTAATCATATCCGGTAATTCAATTTTATAGGCTTCCTCTGCATCCTCCCTCCATTAAATATTTCAGTGGAACTAATATAAGCAGCTCTTGGAAGTTACTAGTCTTGGATCCCTTAAAATATCCTACAGTTATTTATAATGTGGAAATGAAATTTTCCACTGAATACCCTAATAACATTTCAGGTATCTGGCACAGCAGATTTTGTCTCCTTTTAAAAATATCCTCTTGCTGAACATTCACACTTTCAACTGGAACTGGCTGAGCCTGGAACTGATGATGTCTTGGCTCTGACCATTATATTTAAAGAAGAAAACATTTTTACAGACCCCTGAACTAAACCTCTCCTGGTAATAGCAGACACAGGAAAATCATGAGGTTTTACATTCGTGTATTTTATGCTATATAGTTTGCTTGATCTCATCCCTGAGTTTAGATTTTCTTCTCTATCAAAATGTTTTGGGGGAAAAAAATCCCCCATTATATTTCTCTCTAGAAACACTTATCTTTTCAGTTGTATGTTATGTCATTAAAAAAATCATACATTTTTTTTCCTGAAAAGTGACAACTCTGGAAGACACAAGCATAATTTCCCCCTCCCTGTCCTTTAACACTTAATACAACTGTTTAGTAGCAACACCTGGCAATTCTGACTTTCCAGGCAAAGAATATGTGAAGTTATTTATCCAGTCAAAGAACTGAACTCCTAAACTTGGGCTTCTTTATTCTGGTTTCTTGATCTAACTTCTATATGTTAATATTTTAAAAGACCCTGTAAAATCTTAAAATATTTTTCAATGGATGGACCAGCTAAAAAAGTGGAAAAATCAATGGAAAATTATGGATATACTGACAATCCCTAAAGCTTTCAATGTGTTATATGGGAAAACTTTGCAAACACAATCATCATTGTAGAATTTTCCTTTAGACCATGATTGAGTGAAGGTTGAACCCTGAAGAAGTAGTATTGTCAAGGGACCAGGAGTCATCATACACATAAGGCCAATGTGCTAAATCTGGCCTAATGGCTATTTTTGTAAAGCCTACAAGTTGAGAATAGTTCTTGCATTTTAAAATGGTTAAAGAAATTGGGGCTGGGGTTGTGGCTCAGCAGTAAAGTGCTCACCTCACACTTCGAGGTCCTGAGTTCGATCCTCAGCACCACATAAAAATAAATAAATAAAATGAAGGTTTTGTGTCCAACTACCACTACAAATATATATATATATTTTTTTAAAATGGTTGAAGAAATTAAAACAATAATATTAATGATTCAAGAAAACAATGTTAAATTTCAGTGTCTATAGATAAAGTTTTATTGAAACACACCTATACTCAGGTGTTTATGCATTGTCCATAGTTGCCTTTACCTAAACCAGAAAAGTTGTTTATTTGTGACAAGGACTGAAATGACCCAGAAAGCCTAAACTATTTACCATCTGGTTTTACAGAAAAAGTTTGCCTCCCGCTGCCCTAAAATGAAAAGGAATCCAGGAACACAGTAGTGGAATGAAACAATGGAAAGGAGTTGATATGAAGGAAGCTATTG